GTTCTTTTTTTTCCACAGAATAATCAGATAACAGATCAAACTAATGGTTGTTTCTGTTCCTCTCCATCAGAAACATTAAACTGGTGCAGTTGGTTGGTTTTCATGGAATGACCCATCTATCGCCTGGATATTCTACTGTAAAATGTGACAGATTTGAACTCTGATGAACCCAACTGCTATCTGTCATTCAGTTAATTAATAAAACCCACGTAGCCGGTCATTGGACTGAAAGTTTATTGAACACTAAAATTACCATGCTTTACAATCCAGGAAGAGAAATATCAACGTAAACGTACATGTTTGTTCAACTGAGAAATCCCTGAAAGTTAGCGAAATTTTAAATAATAAAATAGTAATAATTTAGCCTAGAGAAATTTTAATTTGTGTCTGCACCTACAGACTTAAGACAGGAAGGTTCATACTGTGGAGATCAGGGGAATTATTTTGCTGCTATTGTTAATAATCATCATCATTACCATTGCATTAATAATACAGTTTACAGTATTGATATTGTATTCAGATGTTTAAACATATTGGTACCCAATTAGCCTTTATTACAGGTGCAGTTATAACCACTTTAAACTGTTGAGTTAAATCAATAATCTTAAATGCTTTTGAATGCTTGTTATAATCTTAAATGTGTATGTGCTGATTCTGATAAAAGAAAGGCCTAACTCTGAGTACACTCTGTGCCAAAGTAGACAGGAAGCGCAGGCTTTTGCAGAGCGTGCTTGTGAAAGTGAAAGTTACTTTGAGGAGCTGATTGAATGATGCTATTTGAATAACCAGGTTATTCAAATTGTCTTTTATACTTTTATATTCTTTGATTAAGCTTTTAGTAGAGGTTCTTGCAGGATGTGGGCCTGATGTTTCAGACGATAAGCGTGCGTCCGGCAGCGACAGAAAGACAACTGGCAGGGAGACGAGGCGATGTTCTTTTCAAACTGTGTTAAAAGTCATTGTGGTTTTGATTTGATGTAAGCATGTATTGTATCTGATGACGCATGAGGGGGCGTTAACCCTGATGAATCAAAAGCAATCTGAAGTGTCTTTTGGGCGGAGATCTACAGCTGATGTTTTGCAGTGTACATCTCACCACGCTGCGTGTGTTCATTAAAATCATCGTTTGACTCCACCCGGCCAGATCATTGTTGTTATTGGATTACCTCCTGTATCCCTCCTTAATATTTGAACGCTTAACAATACCCATGTTTTATCATCTGGTTTACTTCACTAAAGAAGCAAAAATGCGAGGGAAGGCGATAACTGGATAAAATGTCATCCTCTTTCTCCTCAGCTTAATCTACTGAACTGAAGTCAGAGCTCTAACACATGAAATGTGTAAAACATGTTCATTTTTTCCTGTTTTCATCACAATTACTTATTGT